CCAGGCAAGCATTTATTCTACTGGGCCAACTCCCCGGCCTCCCAGACACATATTCTCGATACATATTGATATCATTACTTGAAAGCAAAATTCTTAGCACTAACCAAATGTTCAAATTTCAATTTGATGGTTTTATTTCTAAAAGTTTATTCTAAAATTATCCCTGTACATATAAAAAAGTAAATGTTTAGAGTAGTAGCTGTTGCTATTTTGTTACAGCCCAAGATCAGAATCAATCTACATGTGCATCAATAGTAAATTAGTTAAGAAAATACATGCTCACCCATATAATGAATCCTTGAAGTACCAAGAGAACAAGGCCTCTGCTGTTGATAAAGAGGGCCATCTAATCTTGCAGGGTAAAGAAGTAGTACTTTAGCATCAGATAATAAGAATTTAATTCACAAACCTTGTTGTTCACTTGCTGGGTGACCATAGATAAATTATTTTTTATCTACAAAATAGAACATAATAATAGTCTATTTCACAGACCTGTTGAGAGGAACAAAATATATAAACAAGTTAGTCTTTTATTATTTTTCATAAAAAATAGGGACACCTATTAGCACATAAACAGCACATAGAACAATATGGACAGACAAAAAATTTATATGTACATGAATTATATTAAAAGGATACTCAAATACTACTTACTATAGTCATTTATACACTTTCATTACACAGACTTTATTTTTTCCATATACAAGTATTACCTTTACAATTTTAAAAAGCATTGTAAGGGCTGGCCAGGTAGCTCAGAGGACTAAAGTACCTGCTTAGGCAAGTGCAGGGACTGGGACTCAATCCCCGGAGTGCTGTGTGGGCCCCACCCTTGGGGTGCACTGAGATTGGACATGGTGGTGCACATCTGTAATCCCAGCACTTGGGAGGCTGAAGACAGGAGGCTCTATCAGTTTGATCTGTGTAGTGAGACCCTATAGACCCTGTAAGGAAAATATAAAAAGTATTGTAAGAAGAAACCCCCCCACACATAATGAGATTGATACCCAAAATATATAAGAAAATCAAACAATTTAACAGCAAATACCAAACAACTGATTAAAATGGACTTAAACATTTCTCTAAAGAAAATATAGAAATTGCCAACAGTTATATGAAAAGCTGTTTAATATCACTAATCATTGGGAAAATGCAAACTGAAATCATAGTAAGATATCACAGCATGCCTGTTAGAATGATAGCTATAAAAAGACAACATCAAAAGCACTAAAAAGAATATGGAGAAAGGGAAATAGCTATATATTTGTCAGTAAGAATGTTAATTGGAAAATAGTATGGGCTTTTCTCAACAAGTTAAATATGGAAATACCATATGACCCAGTAATCCCAATTTTAAAAATTCACCAAAAGGAAGTGAAATAGAAATCTCAAGGAATTATCTGCAACTCCCATGTTCATTACAGTATTACTCAAAATAACCAAATACAGAAACAATCTTTCTATGAAGCATCTGTTGGTGGGCGAATGAACAAAGAAAATGTGAAACACACTCTAGAATATTACTCAATTTAAGAGAACAGCAAAGAAATCCTATTTGAGAAAATCTGGTTGAACTTGAAGGACATCATATTAAGTGAAGTCAGTGAGGCACAGAACAGCAAATACTGCATGATCTCGTGTACATGTGGAATCTAAAAATGTCAACTAAAAGCAGGCTGTTGTCGCTACGGCTTGGAGAGTGGCAGTCACAGAGAAATACCATCAAAGGGTGCAAAATTTTGTTTTGTAGGATTAATAAATTCTGTATGGTTACAGCGTAATAATCTTGTATACTTAGAGTTTGTTAAGATCGTTGATTATTTGAAATTGGTAATTATTTTAAACAATAGTTATATTAATAGCGACACACTTTGTAATTAACCACTTCACTATGTAGACATATATCAAAATATCACATTGCATACCTTAGATATTTTGCAGCTCTTATTATAATGAGTTTAGAGTTTGAACGTGTAATTTATAATTAAATGATTAAAATTAATTCCTTATTAGAGATGGTTTTGTTTTAAAATTTTAGCTTATTGTAAATGTTCTCTTTAGAGGGGCTTCCTTACCTTTTTGAAAAATGGAAAAATTTGGAGAGATTTTTGTTCCTTTTATTTCTATTATGTGACTACAATAATTTTTAAATAATCAATTGAAATAAAAACTTCTTTCAATGTCACCAAAATCTAATTTCCTTTTTTTCATCCAGACCCCAGTTTTTAAAAATAGCCAGTTATTCAAGAGAAAATCATTAACCATGTATAATTAGTGCTGCTTGAAGTTGATTCTTTCCGGGTTCACTGGCACCTCCCTCAGTGGTACTTGACATAATTCTGAGTTATCTTTGATATAGTTCCCCAAACACTTTCACCAGGAAATGATTACCTAATTCCAATGGTACAGTACTTTCCACATTGCCATACACTCTTGGCATCCCCAACTTTCATCAGGGGAGCTGCCTTTCCTCCTATTTGAAAAGAAATGTAGAACCTTTTTGATTGGAATTCCTTTGATGTACTGTTCTCATTTTCTCCACTGTAACAGTGTGGCAGATGCCTTCTTTTTCATTCCCTTCCAGTTTAGTAAGAAGCTTTCCTTCTTCCTGCCTGAAACTAATTCTTTTGTATTTCTATCCCTGAGAGCACTAAGTGGTTATGTTTTATTCAAATTAAAAATATGAAAGACTTTCTTTTAATGTGGACTGACTGAAGGAATGGCCAATATGAATAATTACATAAAAGTCTAAATTATTTAATATCTAAAAATTTAAATCACAATTGCAGTTTAACCACATTTATTGGAGCAATGGAGTCAAACAACTAGAGAAAAGTATTGGTAGAAACTGAGTAGCATGTAAAGAGCAGAATAATTTGTCTATTTCTCATCTTTATTTTTTAATAATTTATACTTTTGTGCATGAAGACTTCACAATACGTTGAAAAAATTCCACTTACAATTTTATATTGCTTATTAGATATTAAATGACCATTACTTCTCTTTGTTTTTTAAAAAAGTTTTATAATGGATTGTGAAGGACAAGAAAAGAGGACAAGAAAAACCAGCTGATAGATTGTATTTTACTCTTTGCTGACTAAAGTTGTGCTTATTTTTCAGATGTTGAAACTTTTACATTGTGTACACTAGAATGTTAGCACCTCATGAAGTTCCAGTATGCATCAGCAGAGAGAAAGGCTAAAACAGCTGCAATAATTCAGATCCTTATTACCTCTGCATAGTTTTAATAACTGTCTTGTTCTAATCATGGTTCATGGCAAAATCCCCCAACCTGACGTCTCTCCTGGAAATACAGACTTAAAATTTAATGCTTCCTTTTGAAAGAGAATGAATACTAAATATTGGTAATAGTTTATGATTCACAGATGATTGCATTTTGAATATTTATCTTCTATCAGAAAACCATCTGTGACGGAGTCAGTTCCAGAAGAAGAGGAGCACCAGAGGTGGCTGGGCTTACGCTCCGACTGGAGGAACATCAGTGGGACCACGTTACACAGACTTCTGGTGCCGAGGTAAGAACTCTTTCCTAAGAGTGGTGTGGAGTAAGATTGTGGTGCAAGAGTTTATCAGCAGGCCTTCCTTCCGAGCTTTGCCATAAGAAAACCCAAATTTGCTACATCAAGGAGCGTCCATAGAATAGCTATTAGGCTTCATATTTTAACAACATAGATTTTTTATTTTAGCTATTTACATCTTTTTAAAATCATAGTTACTGAAAATATGGCTAAAGAAGAAACTTGGCTTCTAATCTTGGAATTTATTCATACCCTATTTAAAATAAAGACTCATTCATATTTGAATTTCCTACAGATGCTGCATGAAATTAGCAGGGAAACTGAAGTAATTCTAACTAAAATCTTGGAGAGTCCAGTAACAGAAAAAGCACAAAATGAAATCACGACTAGGTAGCCTTACCAATGCAAGGTATCGCCCTCAAAATGATGGCGCTTCAGCTGGGCGCGGTGGCGCACACCTGGAGTCCCAGCGCTCTGGGGTTCAGGCAGGAGAATCAGCAAGTTTGAGCCCCACCAAAGCGGGTGTGGAAGTAACATATTTATGGATGAATTTTTTTTAAAAATCTGGGAAATTTAGGATTCTGAGCACATCACACTATTTTTGAAAGTCTCCAGGTACTTTTTTCATTTTAATTTATATTATGAATGACTGTTTCATGGTTGGAAAAAAACCTAGTGATTCCACTGTAAGCAATCTGAGTTTCTTGCAGAGGCGCCCTGGGAGACCAGATCCACAGAGCATGCTCTTACCTCAGAGTTTCCTGAGAGCTTTAGAAAATTCTTCCTTTCCCAAATCACACTTCCTGTGATTTCTATGTACTACCTGTGCTGGCGCCATCTAGAGTCCTAGGGATTCAGCTTACTTCCCCTTTCCTCTAGTCAGCACTTCATACGTCCAGAATTTCACCATGACAGTTTGGGGTAAGGTTTTTTCCAAGCCCAATATTCCTTTCCTTTATCTGTTCTTTGGATTTTTTTTTTGTAGTAATATTTTGTTTTTCTGAGGCTATTTCTTAAATGTTTTTTGGGGGAGGGGCACTCCCTTCTCCACAAGCACAACAATCTGCTGTGCTCTGTACTTAGCATAGGTTCTAAGAAGCAGCCTAAAGCCCCACCCTTTGCCTGCCTGAAGAGTCATAGTTTGAGTCAGTGTTGTTGGTAGTCCCATCAGTCCAGACACAGAAATATTTTTGTAATTATTGCTCTTCCTATGGTTATGAAATTATGAGAATATTAAACTAAAATAAATTTTTAAAAGTGTATAATTTCTAAATGTCCCCAAAGTGATGTTTACCAACAGTTCTGCCTTGGGAATTCCTATAATAAGAATAATTACCTCTCAAAAAGAATGAGCTCCCCTAACAGCTAATCTAAGTCTTGCCTTCCCTGGAAAAATGTTGAATAGGAAATATGTGGCTCAGTGTCATGTTTTTTATGTTTCTAACTCTAGGCAGTCCTGTCCCAGCAGAAATAAGATCTCTCTTCTGTGTACTAAGCAAGGTGAGAAACTGGCGGTGGGACACTGGGATAGGAGCTTATCTGCGTGGGCTGTGGGGGAGGTGGTCGTAGGTGTGTGAGCGCCTCGCTGGCAATAGCTGCGGCTGTTGGCACACTCCAGCTGTACCTTCCGCTTCTTGGCAGATTGTGGGCGTCGCCCCGCTGCCCGAATGAACAAGAGGATCCTCGGGGGCCGGACAAGTCGCCCTGGAAGGTGGCCGTGGCAGTGCTCTCTGCAGAGCGAGCCCAGCGGACACATTTGTGGCTGTGTTCTCATTGCCAAGAAGTGGGTTCTGACAGTTGCCCATTGTTTTGAGGGGTAAGCTGCACCTTTTTCTTCCTTCTCTCTTTCCCTCCTTTCCTCCTTCTTTCTCTTCCCCTCCTCCTTTTCCTTCTTCCTCTCCTCCTCCTCCTCTTCCTCTTCCTTCTCTTCCTTCTTTTCTCTCTCCTTCTTTCTTTTCCTGGGTCTGATTACTTTGTCACTTGATGATTCCTAGCTGCACAGGCAACTAACTGCACAAGGCTACTTCAGTGAAGTAACAGCTCTCTTTCCAAGCCCCACTCAAGTTATTGTTTTCTTAGTATTTGTTTACATGACATAATGATTACATCTCTGTGTGGAACTGGTACATGTACGTAAAAGATATCAGGGCTGGCCAAATAGCTCAGCAGATTAAAGCACCTGCAAACAGGTGCAGGTGCCAGGGTTTCAATGTGCGGGCCTGCTTTGCCAGCCCTGCCCCAGTGGTGCCCTGAGACTGCAATTGAGACTGGGTGTGGTGGTGTGCACCTGTAATCCTATAATCCCAGCACTTAGGAGGCTGTAAACAAGTGGATCACTGTGAGTCTGATCTAGTAGCGAGACTCTGAACACCCTGTAGACCTTTCCCTAAAAAAAAAAAAAAAAAAAAAAAAAAAAAAAAATTCAGTCTCCCCTTCTTTCCCCCTCTCCCCTCCTCCATCTTCCCATCCCCTTCTCATCTGAAAAACATCTCCCTACTTTCCACTATTTCTCTTTTATTTTGCTCTTTATTTATATTTTACGTTGCTCATATAAGAGAAAATATGTGATACTTAAATTTGCATGTCTGATTTATTTCACTTAATATTGTCTCAAGGTGCATAAATTTACCTACCTGCTAATGAGTTAAGTTTATCTTTCTATATGACAGAACAGTTCTCCACTGTGCATAAGTCCCACATTTTCTGTACCCATTCGCTGGTTGTTGGGCATACAGTCTTTTCCCCAAGTTATTATGAATTACGTGTCACTAAACATGGGCACACGTGTGTCACTTAACATGATGCCTTTAACCTTTTAGGAATATGTCTAAAGCGGGAATAGCGGGTCCAATACAATTACTAGCTTTACTTTCTTGAGGACCTCCATACAGACTTCCACAGTGATTGTATCAGTTTGGATTCCCAGCCACAGTGTAGAAGCCTCCTTTTTCTGTGCAGCTTTGGCAGCATTTGTTATTATTTAATTTATCGATGATGGCCATTCTGGCTGCGGTAAGATGGAATTTTAGTGTTGTTTTAATTTGCATTTTTAATGGTCAAGAATGTGTATTATTTTTTCATGTATTCATTGGATATGTGTTCTTTTTCTGAGAAGTGTCTATTCATTTCACTGCTGAGTTTTGTTGTGTTCTTTATGTTGGGATTCTTGAAATATTTTAGATATTAGTTCTCTGGGTAACAGCTGCAAGAGATTTTCCTATTCTATAAGCTGTTTCTTTACTCTGCTTTTTCCATTGTTGTCCAGAAGCTTTTAAAATTGATATGATCTCATTTGTTAATTATTGATACTGCTTCTTTTGCCACTAGGGTTCTGCTCCTGAAGTCTTTGCCATTCTCATGCCTTTAAGGTTTTACCTATTTTTGTCTTCCAGCAGATTAAGTGTTTCTGTTTTCACATTTAGCTCTTCGAGCTATTTCGACTTTAGTTTAGCACATGGTGAGATACGTAGGCCTGGATCCAGTCTTCTGCATGTTTTCCCAGCAATAGCACTTTTACCTGCAGATAACTATTTTATCTACCTTTGGTGCAATCATCCTGTCCACGTACTGTCCATGATTGTCAGTGAATAGATAGCTGCTTAGGGCTCATGTCCCGGGTAATGAGGAAAAAGAAGCTTTGGAGCTTCACTCCTCAGCCAGAAGTAGTCTCTTTCCTTGACTTCATAAGTATATTACACACATATAAATTTAAGCAGAGGTGGTAAATTTGGATAACACAGATGCAAGAGCAGGTGGAAGGTGGCTTGGGAAGGCACTAATACTAATGTCTGTGTGAATGCAGTTTCTTCCACAAACAGAACCAACCCTCTATCCTATCAGTTGGTGCCTCACAGAGTGGGTATGGGTAAGAGGTGAGATGGACCAGAGAAATCCTTGAGAACCATCCCTAGAATCATTCAAGGGACTCTAGTAAATAGGAATATTTCTTTTTAAAAATATTGCTAAAAAATACATTCTACATTTTCCTCTAGCATTATGGAATGAGTACTTTCGCATTGTGCTAGCACCATCGACATCTTGGCAGTTTTTTTCTTTCACTTCCTCGCCACCCTGAAGCCTGACCTCCGTCACAGCCTGGTGAATGTTCCTCATGAGCATGAATGAATACGAGCACGTTCGGTTTTCATGGGGTGTCCAAGTCTACTTTCACCACTTGAAACTCGCTGTATGCGTTGGTTGGCTGGTTGCTCTTCTCATGTGGCAACTCTTGGGGTCCATTCCTACAGGTCTGGTCCATTCTTTTTGAAAGCTAAATAATATTCTATAATATAAGTTTCCATAACTTTTTCTGTCATCTCTCAATAAATAAATCATTGGGTTAATGTCACTTTGGTGTTATTTTAACCTACTGTTATAAACCTTCCTACATAAAGTTACTCACAAACTGGCACCAAGGGACAGAAACACAGATACTTTTTATTTTTAGAGGGTAGAGACTCAGAATTTAGTCCTGCATGGGATTGCAGAGATGGACACCTGCATTGGACCTTGAGGTGCAAACCTAGTGAGCACATTTAAAGAAGAAATCAGAATACAATGTAATAAATGACTATAAAATGGAAAAGTGTGTATGCAATTATTTTGTTGATCTTTTGGAAAAATAATACATCAAAATACAACCAGTACCTCTTTTGGGGGTATTTTTGATGTGTAAAACAGAATGATAAGAGTTTCTGTAGTATGTCAAGAAATACATCACAGGCTGGCCAGATAGCTCAGTAGACTAAAGCACCTGCTTTGGCAGAGCTCAGGGGCTGGTTTTGATCCCAGCATGCCATGCTGGCCCCACCCCTGGGCACGCTGAGATGGCGATTGAGACTGGGCATGGTGGTGTGGCCTGTAATCCCAGCTCTTGGAGGCTGAAAACAGGAGAATCACTATGAGTCTGATCTATGTAGTGAGACCTATAGACCCTGTTACCTTGTACTAAAGGCATAAAAAAAAAAAATACATCGCAGTGCTGTTTCTGTAGAAGGGGCCAGATGTTTCCAGATGTTTTTTACAGTACTGAGTCGTAACTTCACAATAAGCAGATTTTGCTAGCAAAGGCACATTCATCAAAAGGGGATTACCTGAATGAATCCAACAGATCTATAAGGGAACAGCATTTTTTATGTGCTAGTTAATCCAAGTTCATAACCACTTTTGTCATTACCATATGTGGAACCAAGGTTTCTGTTTTCACTGACAGTTCTATGAAGTTAAGGAGGAACCTTGCAATTGAGGAGAAATATGTGTTTATAATTAAGGAAATGAGTATATCAAAGCCATGATCAAATTTCATGGAACGCTAAACTTTACTGTCCGGAGAGGGGGGCATATTCATGCAGTGTTAAAAGTTGCTTAACTTTAAGCAAGCCTCTGCTTGAATGTATGCTAATGAACTCAATTCCATTTTGCAACCTCTCCAGTGGCACTGAAAGCCTCTTAGAACTTTTAATTGTAAGGTTTCCTGTCTGCTGGGGCCATCAATTGCTGCAATGAATGGGATTCACTTCATATCCTGATCCCATGCCTTGGCAAGGCAAGCCAGACCCATTTGTAGTTCTTTTGTCTCTTTTCATTACAGTGGTGGAAAAAGACAATGCGTTCTGCTCTTCTATGGAGAGGTATTTCAAATACCAAATGAAAATTAAAAACATGAGATACTAAGCTGAACAGTTCAAGTCTCATCTACTTCAGTACCAATTTAACCTCTAAAGTTCTAAGGAGGGCCAGGGAGATAGCTCAGTGGAATAAGTGCTTGCCTGGTAAGCACAAGATCCTGAGTTCAATCCCTGGTACCACCAAAAAATAAAATAAAATAAAGTTCTAAGGAAGAAAGACTTTGACTTTTCAGGGTAATGTAACAAACAATTTCTTCACCTTCTACCTCTGAAAGACTGAAGGAAGAATTTTCTAGGTTGGTACACAACTAGCAAAGGTCAGCACTATGTAGTTCCCTTCCAGGAAACCTGTGTTAAAAACTGCCATTCTTCTAGTAGATTGCAACCCTTACTGCTGCCCTCTTGCCACGTTTGATTTCTACTGCTCAATCCAACAAGATTTTTGGTTACTTTCTTCCCCCTTATCTCAGATCATTTCCTTCTCAATTCCTTTCTTTCACCAGCTGACCTAGTTTCCTGGGTTCATTAATCTAATCCTTTCACCAGGACCTTCAAATATACTCTGCTAAATTTAATTTGGCTCTTTAAAAAAACAAGTTAAAAGTGGGAGTGAGTGGAGTTTCTTCATGCTCTAAGCCCATAAGCTACAGAGATTGGCGGCTTCTTCTTCTTCTTCTTCTTCTTCTTCTTCTTCTTCTTCTTCTTCTTCTTCTTCTTCTTCTTCTTCTTCTTCTTCTTCTTCTTCTCGTCCTCCTCCTCCCCCTCCTCCTGCTCCTCCTCCTGCTCCTCTTCTTCCTCTTACTCCTTCTCTTC